TTAGTGCTTAAATTAAAATAGTCAAAACAACAAGATTTACAACTAAATTAATTAATACGACTAAATAGATTAATTAAAATTAATTTCGACGTATTTTGATAATAAGTAACTTTTTGCATCATTTAGAAATTTCGAAACATTTATGTTGATTTTAGGCGTACATAATCCATCACCGTATTTGAAGCGGTACCGTTTACCACAACTGAATTCATCAAGCTATACGGCTTACGAAGAATTGTTAAGCCCTGTGGACGATTGCACAAAATTGGCTGTCATTTCATCATTTAATTTCAGTAATAAGGCAACTAAATTCATGTATTTCAATTATATAACCAAATTTCCTAGTTTTGATTGACACAAAGATCTTTATACCATTTTTGCACAATCGTTGGCCGTTAAAACAGAAAATAATCGATCCGAAATTCGTGAAAAAAAACATCTATAACGATCTAACCAAAATTTGGGATTGTGTCGTATTAAAAGTGGGTATGCGTTCAAATTTTTTGTTTTAGATTTTAGTTTTTATAGATGAAACCCGAATTCAAAATCAACAAAGAATTCCAAATCAACAAAGTTTTTCTTGTTAAGAAATGCTTAACTGATAGATTTTTTCGCTTTTCTTTCTTTTGAATGAAGTAAAAGCATAAATAAGTAGAAGGCAATAAATAAGCAATCTTCGGCAGACACATTGTTCATCTCATATATATTCTAATTTTTCCAATTTTACTGTCTGCGAAAATTGTAGCTGTAATGGCCATTCTCCTATCTCATAGTCGAAACACTTAAATTTGTGATCTAATTCTGAAATCACCAGTACTAGAATATAGATAGCCAAATCAAGTTCATTAAGATAATCATATCTTTTATCAAAAAATATTCTATTTTATAAGGTTTGTTGTCAGCAACTTTTCATTCCACGTTTTGAGAAATCCATTGAATTCATCGAAATAAGCTTTATGACCTATTTGAATCTTTAAGACCTTTCTTTAGCACAATACTAGCTACACTACAATACTAGCTTTGGATACAGGATCGCACAGCCGACTAAGGCCGACATTGGTTCGTTCCTTGATAGGATTAAATCTGCCAAATTAAATCAGATAAAAGTGAAATATGAGAAGTGCTGAAGGTCCACATATTGCCATATGGCTTTTGATTACTAATAAACCTAGCAGTTAATGAGCACTTGAAAGAAAAAAGAGCGTCTTATAGTAGTGGACATGTTGATCAAAAGGTTTTTACTTTTTTCACTAACTGATCAAAATCAGATTAGACGATCATAATTTCAAAGAAATTCATGATTTGATTTTGTCAAATTCATCATCTTGATATTTAAAACAAAAATAAAAGAAATAGAAATGCTTGATTGATCCATCATGATTAAAAAAATATTTTTCTGACAAGTCACATTTTTCGTTCACTATGGGAAACTGACATTTATTCTATCATTCCATCAGAAAATATAATAGGCCCCTCAGAGTTTTTGCTTTGAAAAATAAGCCGAGTATTTAAAATATTTTCTTTCTTTATTTCATATTTTCTTTCTTCCAATAGTGCGCATCATTACTGGTCGTTGGATCCGCTAGCTGCAAAAGTAAGGCGCTCCAAAGTATCAGTATCTGAAAACAGCAGAAGCTACTTCTTTTTCCATCTTCTAAATCTCCATATCGCTGAGCTTCTATGCCAAAACCTTAATTGTATCTTTTCGTTTTTGATGCCATTAGTCGCAGAATTTCGTAAGCAGCGAAATACATTAATTCTTGCAGTGAGTGGTAAAGAAATTGACCTAACTAGCATAGACGACGAATTGTGACGATATTATTAATACGGATGGTATTCTTGCAAAAATGAATGCAATAATTCGAGGTCCAGCAGGCATATAATATGCACCTTAGACATAAATGATCAAAGATAAATAGCTTTTTTGAAATCTTCTCATTGGCAAGTTTCTCAGGCTTATGACAAGATGGTACTCCTGCACACAGGTAGATGCTGACTTTCATTTTGATGGTAATTTTGCAGCGATTCCATAAAGGCTTCGCCAGATGGAAGAACTCATTCTCATTCTTTGCTACGAGCTAAAATTTCGTCTTACGCTTGACCGTTTGATATGAGAGTGGATCCGAGATAATTAAAGTTCATAATATTAATTCATCAATGCCATTATATTCATGCCAGTTTTAAGAAATTTACAAATGAAATTTGATTGGTAATTTTTCACTTAAAGTAGATTTCGTATCTCTGGAGAAGTAATTTCTGATTTTATATTTTGAAAGGATAAACTAAGAATGATCATCAATATATACTGTAGCAAATGAATAGAATATTATGTATAATAGAGCAAAACTGGGCAAAAATTTTGAATTTTCAGCCCATTTCAACCTCGAAATCTTCGTTACCTATATCGTTGCTCCCACAATCGAAAGTTGAGCATGAAAAAACCGAGGAAAAATTTTACAGCATCGAGACGGTACCCAATTCTGAGAAGTAAATTCATTTAAAATATTAAAGAAAAACTTTCTACTTTATTACTGATATTCGGATTGGTTTTTTTATTTTAAAAGCCCTCACCATTACTGGTTAAACTCGCTCCACTGGCTTGTCGCACTGGGCAATAGGCCAGGGAGTCCCTTGGCGATAGAAATATAGATGAGTCGTCAACAACACCTGGATTGTACAGGTTTATTCCCACTGGGAATCGAACCTCAGCATCGGCGCTCCCAACTAAGCAACAACCCACTGAGCCATTCTACCCCCATTATTCGGGTTGATTAAAACTTAACAAATCGCATTTGCCTTTAATTAATTAAACTTGACGGTTGTAACAAATATCAGAGGTAGCCATCAGAGCGTTTTCACCTATTGCTTTTCACCATTATTTCCAGGTGATTTTTTAGCACACTGGTTTATAAAAAGAGAAACAAAATAGTTTTGAGCAAAATATTCTTAAAATATTTTTTTGTCCCACATTCAACCAGCCATTTTTATTTTTCAGTCAACTGGATCAGGCAATAACAAAATGCGAGAAACCTTCGCAACAGATTCCAAAAATGCTATGCAGCCTTGAAATCCAAATTGAAATGGAAGAACTTGAAAAAAAATGCCATGAACTGTTAAATAATAGCTGGGTGGAGCACCAATAAATTTTTCATCAGTTTTTCATGAAAATTTTAGTGCATATCATATTTTTTCTATGGTTTTCCTGATAATATATAGGAATGCGTTGGTGAAGATCTGGATAAATTTGTAACATTTCCACAAAAATCGAGAAATTTGAGAGGTTCGATTCCAGCATTAGCACACAATCAGCAAAATACTCAACCCAGTAAAGCAGCGACCAAAATACACATAAGGCATGGTTTTTTTTATCGCGAAAGTAATTTAGATTACCTTTATGATTTGGTTTTGTGCACGAATTTTGAATATTTTTGGATGGTTTATTTTGTGCTTTTTTTATGTTCTATGACTTTCACAAGTTTTTAGGAAAATCTTTTTTATTTGTTTTAAAACTATGTGGTAAAAATTACTATTAATGCTTGACTACGATGAACAAGAATATTAAGCGCACAAATTTTGCTTCTGATGGCATTCTTCATTAGCCGAGTTCTGTGTAATTTTTTTATTCAATATAAGAAGATAATGGCAAATTTGAAACTTTGTCCAATGATCATTCTCAACTGGTCTCATGACAACATTTAATTACAGGTAAATTATCCCAATTCTTCTGTTATCAGACACTGAAAGAAAAATAAACGCGCACGATAGTGGTAACCGATTGAAAGTTAATATTCATTAAAAATCTGTGTTATTAACAGTGGTAGCCTGAAGTCAAAAGCCAATTTTTAACCGTCGTTAAACAATATTCAAATATGTCACTAGTATAGTTCACCTATAACTAAATGTTATCATGAGAAAGTCAAGAACGATCACTAAAAAAATTTCCTATTTTTAATGAACAGAAATAAATTAATTCATATTTCTTTTTGACATTAAATAGGAAATTTTTGACATTTATCCTTTGGGCTTGACAAATTTATAAGCAACCAACCATTAGGCAACAAAATTAAGACTTGAAAATTAAAATGTCAATATCACTGAAAATCTAGTTGGAGTTGTGATCCGTCTATATTTCTGTCCAAAGATAATTTCGACGAAAGTATCTCATCTAATAGTCAGTGGAGTTAAGAAGGTGAATGGTGTTAAAGAGGTGAATAATAAATAAATAAATGGATATAAATGACTTAAAATTAATCAATAAAAGAATTACCTGATCTTCCCGATGGATAACTTTAGTCATTCATGCAAATATTTAAATAACTAATATAACTCATATAAATTTAAATAAATTCAAATTAAAAGGTGAAAAATATCATTTTAAGTCAAAATTAGAGATTAATAAGAAATTGATAATATATTTTAATCCTTTCTCATTTTCAAAAAGATTGATGTCTACTAAGGAGAGGATTCTCCAGAAATTGTTATTCTTCAAGATTTATGACTGTCGTATTGAGCGACGAAAAAATGCGTTACGAATCCCATGTGCAGGAGCATTAACTATATTTTGTTATTTTTTCAATATTTTCTTTAGATATATTGAATTTTTGATATCTGCGAAAAAACATAAATGCGAATAGGCTTATTGCACTCTAGGGATGATTTATGCGAATAGGTTTTTTAAAGGCTTAGAAGGCAATTGTAATTGGTAATCAGAAGGTATTCACGTTGATCGACCGATAGATGCGCAATTTTAAGTTTTTAACCCACTATTTAATTGGATGGTTAAACTACTTTACGAATGAAAGATGCAGCTACTTTATTTTGACTTATTTAAAAAAGAATAAATATTAATATATGTACACACTAGCACGACAAATGACTGAATAATAACCGCGAACAGAAATAAGACAATAATTTAACTGTGTAATTAATTGTTCTATTATCGTTTTGACTGCGGTTAGCTTGTCCTTTCTTGATCGGTAACAAAACAAGAAAAAGGAAGTTTAATCAGAATTTACATTAAAATTTTTCTCCTCATTAACATTTGGTCTCCCATTTCCGATTTGATATGCGCGTCTCGTAATAAATTTATTTGCCTTCGGCATTTCAATTGCTGATGAAATTCCTCGCGGCTTAAACGCGTAATGAGCTTGGAGGCGACCATTTGCATCGGGAAGTGTGTGGAAAAGTCGATTTCTTGATTGAGACTGTTGCGCTGTCGTTGGACATTTACTAAAGTCATCACATTGTAAAGATTCGTAGCTTTTTCCGATACAGCCATCTGTCAAATAAGGGTCATCATAATGGCAAGTTCGCGTTCGCACCATTTTACCACAGAAACATTCTCCCCAGTTACTCCATTCCGACCATCTGGCAGCTGCAATAAATATATGGCCTTTCAATTATTTTTATAGGCTAAGTTTTTGCTTACATCTCTTAGCATCCTCACAATGTTATTATTCTATGAAAAAATAGTTTTGATTGAAAGGATGAGTGAAGAAATTAATTTAATGAAGAAATCATTAATTACTGTAATTATTATTTATTCAATTACTCAGTAAACCTTAAGGGATCATGATTTACCATAATTTATCGCAAAATGTACCACTTAGTGCAAAAGCATTTGCAAGAATAGGGTGCTTCTCCAAAGTTTAAATCATTATCAAGTTGCATTCGATAAGGCTAATTATAAGCTATAATTGTACTGCGCTTCTCGAAAATAAGAGATGAGTATCGCATGCCCTCAAAAGAAAAATAATAGGAAGGGAGGATAAAAAAAAAATTAACCACTATTCAGTATGAACCACAATGATTTAAACCACAATGGGAGATGAGTGCGCTGCATGATTAATTAAACGGTCGCTAGTTCTCTTTGTGAACCTATTTGTACAAAACTAGTAAGAAGCGAAACAGGCGAAAAGAAACTAGGCTCTCAGAATTGGCGCCTCTTACCGCCTCCCAAGAACCAAAGATTTCGTCCGTGTTCAAAGTTGAATGACCTGTTTATCGCTTATTTAAGACGCATAAAATGCTATCCAAGCTGACTTTAAGGTTTTGATTGAGAACTTAAGAAATATGAAAACACAGCACAAGCAGCGCGAAAGGCAGAACCAAAGGATTCACTTTAATTAACCAATTTGAATATTTCTTCGATCGTACTAGAAGAACAACATGTTCAATCCTTTAAATATCAGTGAATATCTGGTCGAATACTTTTTTACTCACCAGTGAATGTTCTTGCACCAAAAACTCTCAAGAAAGATGGGTCAATAACTGTTGGAGGCGTACTTATGTAAGCTGGAGTTAATGGACCGAGTGGCACTAAATTCAGATTGAACGCTTTCTCCACTGCTTTTGTCCTCTCTCTTTCTGGTGCATCTCGGTTATCCTAAAGCTTTTTTGCCTTAAATTTATATGTGAAATACACTGATTGCAAGAAATGATGAATTGATAATGACAGTTTTATTCATATTGATATAAAAAATAACTGACGCTTAGCATTTAAGAAAAAGCGAGAAACTCACTGCTATAATCTCGACCATAGACCTTAAACTTTCGATTCCATGGTCGATGGATTCCAGACTTTCAATTTCCTTCTCAACTTGATCCGCAGCTAATAGATCAGAATTGTTATGCATAGATCTCTATAATGCATAATGTAGGGATTTGATAAATTATTCCTTCAGTGATAAAATTTTAAAAAATTGTTGTTTTCCATATTATTATATTTATGAGATTTATTGCATACCTTCCAACTATAAAGTGACGATGAAAAAATTTTTTGTGGCTTCGAAGCATTTTCTCCAGACTTACGTGCAAAAATGCGGTTTTTGATAGTCCTTCCATTATTTTCACCAGTAAAGCCTTCATTCTTTCTTTGCGATGCTTCCTGGTAAAATTTTTGTTTATTTAGAATACATTCAGTGAATTCATTATTATCAAAATCGAACACCTCAAATCTAAAGTAATTTATGAGAGTTAATGAGATTATTCTGAAAATGTTCATGTAAAAATTTATTTTGTCTGTAAAATTTATTTATTTTCTCAGTAATACAATATCTATCCAACATTAATGGATCACTTTTTCGTAGCTCCTCTGGCTCGAGAGTGGAATAAATATAATTTCTTACTATTTCTCCATAATGAATGACACTTTTTGGCAATATTTGAATCTTGTTATTCCCGACATTGTCATTAAATTTATTTTCTTGCATTTCGGATGTGACTTTCGACATTTTTGCTAACAAAAGTTTTAAAGCATTTTTTGTATCATCGTCACTGATTTTCTGAAAGATGTAGCATCACTATAATTTAATAAAGGGATAGCTATCTGTGTTCCAAAAATTATGATTCCGTTCATAAAATACACGCGATGCTATTCATATTGAAAGAAGAGTAGCATATTAATTCTTCATATGCTTTTAACATCATTTAAGGAAATAAATCTGATAAACAGAAGAAATTTGAGAAAATTCACTATTCTTAATTAGATAATTGGCATTTAAAAAAGTAGCCATAAAATAAATATTGGGTAATAGAGAACAATGCCAATAAACAAATGGATGAAAATTTTAGCCACAAATATACTTATCTAAGCTACATTCACCTTTCTGGTTTGACCGACTCCTAACTGCTATAGTTTTCGCCAGGGATAAGAGATAAAGAAGTGCAAAAGTATGGCTATTATCATCAAGATTTCACTTTTAATGAAAGATTTTTTTAATGAAAGATTTACTCCCGTCAAATTATTGGGTCTCATAATTCTTGGCCTCAGTTGAAACAACGCGCCACCTCGACCTCATCATTCTTAAGAACACTAAATTTTTAGGTTGTATTTTATAGCTCTGCAGTATCAAACTTTAGATAAGTTAAGCCATCTTATCCACAAATAATCATTTTATCAAATTATTAGTGTACCAATTGATATTTGCACCCTACTTAATTTGGAAATTTGTTATTCAAATTGTAATGCATTTTCCTGGAGAGAGGAAGAGTCCCTTTGATGTTGATAGACTTTTTGCGTTTTGCATGAAATTTTTTCCCACTATTGTTATATTGTTATATTTACGCATTTCGTTCGTGAGATAAATCTTGAAAGCCTCCTCTAACCTTTTGTGATGGAGTGACTTCACCAGAATGAAGCGAAGACTTTTTTGGTGATATATTTATCCTACTAATTTCAGTAGTTGGTTTATCTGTTCCCAAAATCGATAATGGCCCAATTTTCTTGATCATCGGTTTGTGCCAAATGATCCTAGCAGTTCTTAAGTAGACAGCTATTAGCATAAAATATTATTTGGATAAGCAGTTCAAAAACAGCTAAAAGATAGCTATTAATTTTATTAATTTTTGGCTGAGATCAGAAAGAAATATCAAATTTTCTAACTTTTAACGAATTTTTGGCAATTTGGGTAAGATGTTGAGAACTGTTGCCAGCAAAAAATTAGGTGACATTACAAAACTTAATTTTTTGAACAAAAAAGCGCATCAATTAAATGAATTAGCGACCATTTTAAATTAAAAATTACTTGTCATTTTTATCTAGATCATTTTTCGGAAATGCGGTAGTTATTACTTCCTCTTGTTTTTTGATAGTATTGGAATATTTTTTGGTGGCTTTGGTTTGATTTCTTTGCTTCTTTTTATTAGGTGTTGCCGAAGAACCAATTTTTCTAAACGATTTCTCGTCGATAACAGATGGAATCAGGAAAAGATTATCATTTTTGGGCTTAATATAGCTTGAAGAACCAGGATCTTGATTTTTGACTTCTGGTTCTTCAATATTTTCATATTTAAATGACGGTTCAGGCTGCCGTTCAATTTCTTTTCTTTGGAGTTTGGGCGTAGCGCCTGGATATATAGATGCAGTTGTAGTTGAAAAAAGTCCAAAGTGTTTCCAAAAAGTCTTTGTTGTTCGTGACACTTCGACTGGTGCTTTTGATAGTAAGGAAGTAGAAGTACGTTTTATTTCATTCTTAATGGGAGGTAAATTTGGTCCTACTTTAGGTCTCGAAATATCTTTGAAGCTATTGTCTTTTTCAAGTTCTGGCAAATTTATCTTATTTCTGTGACTTTCGATTTTAGCACTAATCACGTGTGATACATATGCTGAAATAGTAAATTTGTGTGCGTAAAAAAATATAGAATTATAAAAAAATTATATAAATATACAGTAGAATATATATTATTTTACATCTGTAAATTTTACATCTGTAAATTATTGCCAGAGAGCACCAGCCTAGTCTCATTAAATTATATTTTGCATCCAAAAGCAACAAATCAACGTTTAAAAATTTGAAATTTAGCCCTACGTAAATTTTAAATTTTAAAAAAACAATATTCACACCTTGCGCTTTCGTTCGGCTATTGCCATTGAGATTTGGTGTGGAAAATAATCGGTAAACCTTGTTCGGCCCTGAAGGAACAAGTACTTCCTGATTCAATGGTTTTATTTGTTCTAACTCTGTTGCAGAAGAAATAATGTCTTGATTTTGATTAATTGCCGATTCGAATCTTTCTTGATTTCGAGCTCTTGTGCCTTCTGCATCGCCTATTTTCGAAATTTAATTTAAATAAGACTCCAATTGCAATCCAACTTTTTATTAGTTGCAGCTTTTTTTATTATTCTAATTTTAAGAAAAAAACTTGATTTTGCCTTTTCTACCTCTAATTTTAATCCAAAGAAAACATCATATCATTCAGAAAAGAGCTGAGGATAATAGCTAAAAAATAATCAAATTAGTGTAAAGTTCCAAATTAAGATATGCAAATCGATCTAAAAAGCAGTGGAAGAGAGGAAAACTTTGCAGCGATCTTATTGCTTCGACCATGAGTTAAAACAATATTCCTGCCTTTTAATGTACTCTCATATTGCTATTAATATGCTCATATTACTATTAGAATAAGAACAAATGATAGAGTAAATTATTTGTCTTATTTCCTAAACATTCTACGTGAATTTTCTCCGAATGGCTTAAAATAATCTAATTTTATACCTGATTTTTTTAATAAAAAATCGAAGTATTTTGAAAGATTCATTACATACCATCAACGGGATCGCGTTCATTCTCCGATGCGATATCTCCTTCAGTAATTTTTAGCTTCTGGTCTGTTGCTTCTTGGCGGGAATAAAGTTGTCGAAGTGCTTCCTTTCGGTCAGCTTCCCATGGATCAGCCACATCATAGTCTGTTCCTGCTGGAAGCAGTTGTTCTTTTTTTAATTCACATTCAGTTTGCTCCTAAAGGATATACTGCATAATTTCACCTTTAGTTCTTTTGAGTAATATGAACACAATTTTGTTATAAGCTTATTGTTTTATAACATTGCAACACAATTCTCATTAATTATCTAAATAAATTATATTACTGCAGTTTTGTCTTATAAAATCTTATTATATATTCATTTCCTCACAAAAGGCAATCAAACAAATTGATAAAACAAGAAATGTGATAAACGATATATTTTATCTGTATTTTCTCAAATATGCACTTCGGAAGAACTGAAGCTCATTTTCAAATTCGACGAAAACAACTGAAGAAGAGAGCTCTGATAAAAATATTATTGCTCATTTCAAGATACTAGTTTTTTAGCGAAGAAAAAGTCAGTTCTTGAGTGATATGGAAAAATAAAAATAAATGGTTAGCGCGCACCATTTCTGGTTGTAGACTAGTTACGCTGGCTGCCAAAAATTTTTCCAAGAAACCACATGGGGATAGAAGTGGAGGTGAATTGCCAGTACTGCCCGGCTTTTCAGTGATAAGTTTATTCCCATCGTGGCAAGGAACCGGACCTATGATGCTGGACAACCATATCACTCGACCATCCCTTACTTTCTTTACAGAAAAAGCTAGAAATACTCTGGTAAATTGCCATAAAAGAGATTCTTTAAGTTTCAAAAATAGAGGTAAAATCATTTTACTTAAATTTATATGCAATTATCAGGTTTTTGTACCTTCAGAAAAACAAAAAACACGCATTTTCTTTACAAAAACCTCTAAAAATTAGCAAATTTATGATATTGGTATGATTTGAAAGAAAAAACTAAGTTTTAAATGAGGGAATATAATTTTAATACGCTTTTCATTTAATGACAATATCGTATTCGGAAATTCCGAATTCCTCGAGACAAGTCTTTATGCTATAACTGTGCGTATTGAATTTTTGCTTGATTTATCAGCAATTTCAATAAATGGCAACACGAAATACCTGATTTTTCCCGAAACAAGAAAATCCTTTGACTGTATTGCAAGCTCGAACTCTGATACGAACATTATTAATACAATATGACCAAGCAGACCACGATGCCCATACTGATGCGTAAACTATAAAAGTTGCAATTATTTCAGATGAAATTAACATTGTTTATCGAATTATAGCCAAATTTAATCTAAATACACAGATGAGTATTTAAGCTGAAACTGAATTTTATCGCCAACTAATCTCATCAGAAAAACTTTGGATTTGGATGGTTTTATCTTAAAATTATTGACGATTAGTTGAAGAGGGCGGAAGAATGTTGAGCTCCTAAGGAATCTTACGAAAAATTCTTCGCACTTAGAGATGATAATATCTGGACATCGATAATTTACGAATTTTCTAATTGAACCAAATCGAATAGATTAAAAAGGGATCATTTAAATGTGATAAATGAATCGTTCGAATATTTCTTTATAGTAGCCTATAGTTGAAAAGTAGCCATTCTTCGATTTTCAAGATCTTATTAATCAAAGGGTTGTGAAATAAAATATTATGAAATAGATCGTCGCATGCCAATAAAGGGTCATTGAACTGAAAGCCGTTCACTTATTAAATACAAATAAAAAACGTACTACTAAAGTGCACTGATATTACTACGTACCGAAATTCGCATCCTGAGGTAGCGGTCGAGGTGTAACAAAGCCTAAAAATTGGCTCAGTTTGCCGGTCCTTGGGTAAAATGGTGCTTCTGTGATGCCATCACCTAAACAAAAATAGCTTTAATATGATTAAATTTGTGACCTTAATTACTGGAATTCAAGGACGTCATATGGCATGCTAAATGATCATATGCTGCCGTGCGAAACCGGAAAACGCTATCTAAAAAAATGAAATCGTACAAAAGTCCTAAAACCAAAAGCAAACAATATGATAATCGCTCACTGTGTGAATAAATAAAAACCAAAGACGAAATAGATTTCTTACATATTTACCATTGAAGTTGAATAAATCGGTCAAATATTGGTAAGGAAGCCATAAACTGATGAAAACTGAGACTTAAATTTGTTGCGCTTTCTTTAAAAAAACCAAATTCCGATCTAATGAACGATGAGCTAAAGACAGCCCAATATTAATCTGCTTAAAAAACATTCCGAAATTACCGAAATATGAACGCTTATAATTCGAATTCAGTTTTTTACCTATTCTGGTATAAATAATTTTGTAATAATAAATTCTGGGGATAGAATGGTTCAGTGGGTTGTTGTTCGATTTCGGGCGCATATTGTTCGATTTCCCGCAGGAGTAAACCTGTACAAAAATCTGGCGACTCACCTGTATTTCTATCGCCAAGAGGCTCCCTGGCATATTGCTCAATGTGACAAGCCAATGGAGCGAGTTTAACCAGTAATGGTGAGGGCTCTTTAAAAAAAAGATGAATCTGACACAATTTTTTGTTCATGATATAAAAAATTTCTCATAAATTTGAATGCATCGTATAACCATAAAATCATCAAAAGCATCACGAATCAGGGAGGTTTCATGTATATCTTTTGCTCAAAAATAATTTAGTAAAAAATTAGGTTAGTATAAAAAATTTTTTGCAACTCCATTTAAATTTAAATAATAAATATATAATAAATATATTTAAATAATGAATAATAAATAAACAGAATTGCGAAAATCTTTGCAATGTATTTTTAAAGCCGTAACAGTAAAATCTTTATTAGGCCGAGAAGTGTTTTTCCAAAAATTAAGAGATTGAAACGGACAACATTAAACGTCCTTATTGGCACAATTAAATCGAGAAGAGCTAATAAAGATTTTTTTTCATTTTTTTCATCATATGATTAATGAATGCGTTGATTTTACTGCGTTTTCAATGACATTAGTGATTTTAAAAAATTTTTATATCATTAATACCTAAAATAATAAAAATTGCTATTTAAAGTTTATGTGGCAGTTTCGGATGTTCGGAGAAATAAAGATTTTATCAGCTTAAAAGGTTTACTATAAAAATTTGATTACTAAGAAGTGGTGCAAATTTCATCAAAAACTAATTCAGAAAATTTATCTCTGGTGTGCCGATCTTCATATTAACCAGATAATAAAATGATTATTTCTGCATATGATGGTTGGTACTTAGAATTTTAATTACATTCGTTCAACTGACTATAAGGATGGGATATTTTCGCCAGAAAGTCATTTGGAAACAAAAATGCAAGTAGGTTTGAAACAAATTAGATCTTTTTATTGACCTGGCAGGACTGCTCCTGCCAGGAGCAAGGGCAGATTTATCTAAGCAATGAATCATTCCAGAATACTGTTGTTATGCAAAAATAAAAAGACGTATTTCCAGTTTAACGCAGACATGATATTAATCCACTTTTACATTAATATTGTTTATCTGTTTTAACGAGTTGTTGCGAATAATGTAAAATACTTGCAAAATTGTAAATATTTGACAAAAAAGGAATGATGGATACCGGTTAGCAAAAGAAACATGAACAATGAAGTCATGGAATGGATCTAAATCGGTTAATTTACCGAATTTTTCGATGTTTTTACATGCTACTTTATTTTGATAAATCTTTCAAAATATTAATATAAATATAAATCAAAATATTCCCAATTCCGATTAGTATCTATGAGCTTTAAGACTTGATAGAAATAAGAAAAAAACGTATAATATATTTCCAAAGCATACTGGCTTATAGCTATCGAGATTGAATAGATCATTAGCCACTACCTACCTCTTTTAATCTCATCATCGCATATGAGCTGAACTAGGAATTGGAGCTCAATTTCTTAATATTTATTTCTTGGATATTTATCATGATGGCAAAACAGGTTAAATTTTCAAAAAAAGATGGCAATTTTAGAAAAGAAAACCGATGGTCAAGAAATCAAATTTTCAAATTTTTGAATATTTATTTCGCATTTCATTAAATTCTGAAAAAGTGAAAAAAATATCAACATTAATATAGGAATTCCCTAGCTATAACAAGATCAGGTTTGTACAAAATTATTTGGAAAGAAATTACCTGAGGACAGCCGCAAAAAGCAAATCGACAGAAGTACTAGAAATGAAGGCATGCAAGAAATTAAATAGATCGACGCAAAAGAATGAATGATTAAGATGGAAATGAAGACAATTAGGTCAGCATCGAACTAAACCGCGGAAATCGACTAAATAAGGGGGCTCATGGGACGGCCCTTCATTGAATGCCCCATAAAAACAATACCCCTTATACCTACTTTTGTTCATTTACCATCAATCATTATTAATGATCATTTAAATCACATTTATGTCTCTCTCTCACTCTCATATATGTATTACATAAATATATTTATACAGTGAGCTGGACGAATCTAACAAAAAATGTGGATTAACGTATTGGCGTTAAAGAGAAAGAATAAAAAGCATATAAATAATAAATTTAGAAAAAAAATTGGTCAAAATTAAACTCAAAAACATGTTTATGATTTAAATGAATCTATTTGCTAGAGAGATTTCTAACGAGGTCAATGAAGTTTTGAGAAAGATTGATCAAGCCGGATTTTTGCAGGGTCGAATTGGAGTCGATGAATGAATCAGGCACTTACTTGTACTTTTCCTAAAATTTCATATGAATTTTAGATCAGAATTATTAACGTATGCTTATGCAGAAATTTCTTTAATTGATTTAATTTTTTTTCAAATTTTTGAACAACGAGAAAATTCTGTGCAGCAGAAACCGACGGGGAATATGACATTGCCTCTTCTTCAGAAAAAGGAAAAATAGTTTTTTGAAGGCTATAATACCCTCCTCGTTCGATAATTCACATGATATAATATTCAAAATTTTGAGGAATTGCGTAAAAATTCTGAGGGATTCAATTGTAAGGAAAATTTTTTTGAGTGATAAGGAGAATTAAAAAGTTTTGGATTGGTAAAACAATGAAAAGCCTTTTGAAGGCTATATTAATTTATGAAAATCGAAACGAAACAAATTGTTTTTTTAAGATGTTTGGCTATAAAAATTTTTGAGCGTGGAGTTGCCTTCTTTTTCTTCTTCTAAAATCATCATTAAGCTAGCTTTAAGTGGTTCGATTAACCACTGAAATCAAAAAGTTTTAAGCAGAAAGTCATTTCGGGATAGAAAGGCAGGTGGTCTCCATCATCATCTCGATTTCATGGGCAGATTTACTCTTGTTAAGGTACGACTCACCATTCAGCCATCCTCTTGCATTCTATTTGATACTTGGTTATAAAGATTGTTTTCACAAAAATGAACCCATTATAATCAACTTGTATAAAAGAAAACACTCTTGAATTTTAACAAAATTTTAACAAAACAAAGTTATTCAATTCTTTGAATAATTTCTTGCAACTATTTCTTCAATGTCCAATTCGTAAATTTGCAGTAGTAAATTTCTTGGTTTTTAATTTGTTTCCATCATTTTATGAAATGCAGGTACGATATTTGCCTTACATTTTGCAACATTTTATTAAGTACTGTATCGAGTATGTCAATTTGGCGTAATTAGGGACCAATTTCTACGACAATCAGCATCTCAAATTTAAAACATTACTCATATTTATATGTTCTCTACGGTGATCAGAAAATTATCAGCAAAGCTCGTGATTGTCTAAATTAACTATGTCGTCTGTTTACAATATATCTTCTTAACTATAAAATGTAATTTAAAAATGATAAATTTTTTAAAAATTTTGAAAATTTCTAGCTGAATCCAGGATGTACCAGCAGTGCAGGTCGTTATTAATCGACAAATCAAAATAATTCGTTTTCGTTTTGCAAGGAAAATGAAAAAATTGGCATAAAGTCAAAAAAGTAATAGCTGTTGTATGACACTTTTTTGCAAGAAATTATTAAACGCACAAGTCCTAAAACTTGAGCGGAATCTTTTTATTTTGTTTTTTGAAATTCGATTTCATAATTTACTGCTGTTTTTTGTCATTTCCTGGATAAATTTTTCATCATCACCTTCAAAATAAGGTTGGAACAGGTTTACAAATAACAGATTTTTCGTTTATTTCACTTTCTTTGCTTTTAAAAAGCTCAATTCTTTGGAGACTTTTGTTATGAAATTTATATGTATTGTATGTTTTACCACAATTTTAGTTTATTAAAATGTGCAAGCGTTAAGCGCTTCTCAAATGCAATATGCCATTTGTCAAATGAGAAGCTCTGGAGAATTGAAGAAAAAATTGAGCGTAGCACAAATTATTAGTGGAATATTTCCTGAATTCTCAATGCATTTTAATTTTAGCTATTGCTTCTGCATGCATAATTGATTCGCTAATTTATAATTGCAATGTTTTTATACAACATAAAATTTATTTATAGATCAACCAGTTTTCGCGGTTACAGACTTATTTTTTTAGCATATTTCAACATTTTTGATTTGGCTCGATCTACCGATTATTAGGTGGGGAATAATTGCAGGTTAGACCTCTAGCATTTCAGTTTAAATGAGAATCGAACCCACGATAGTTCGAATCGTGATCGAAACAACAAACCACTTGGCCTAGAAATGTCCAAAAACAATAGTAGAAGATACTTGTTTGGACCAATTTGTTTCCTATTCGCCATGATTTTAGCATAATTAACGAAAAGCATTATTATATAAACATTATTTCAAAGGAAGAATATGAAATGCATAGAAAAATATATCACACGCTCAAGCATATTTGTGCTTTCATTCGATAGGAGAGACGATTCATAAAAAATATTTTGAAAAAAAATAAAGGTTAAGAAAGCGTTAATCTTGTGAAAATATTTAATCATAGCATGACATGCTCGCACTTCTTCCATCTGCTATTCATTTTCCCATTTCTATCAAATGTAAAATTTTTAAGATTTTCATATAATCGGCAATTTCTACATATTTCGAGATTTACCTCTTTAAAAAGTGCACTACAGTATCTTAAAAGCCCTAAACCAAGAACTGGTATTTGTCATATAGGCATAAATAATATTCAGTAGGCTGTGTTTCGTGTATTTTAACATCCTCTTTTATTCATTTTATTAAACTCATGCTTATAAGCGCCCAGACAGATCGAATTTGCTGGCTATTTGCAATTTAAAAGCAAGTGTTTCAATTTAATCTGGTGAAATCATACCCGAATAAAAATGAATGCACAAAAAAGATGAACTTTAACTAATGAAATTAAAAAATTTATTTGTTAAATTTATTAAATTTATTTGCATCAAAGTTTTTCTTATTTTCCGAAGCTTGAAAAGAAAAGACAGAGAATGAAACATAAGAATCCAAGGAGATTCTTGAAATTTGTAAATAATACGGAGCAATGGACGTCATTCTTTCTCTTTATTCCCCCCACTTTTCCCTCTTTATTTACTTATTTTCAATTTAGGAAAATGGGTTGAGTTGATTAATTGAATTCTGAATGATAAAAAAATATTTTATTTTCGATGAAAAGATAGATAAAGAATCAAGTGAAAATCTTTGGTGATTTGATACTTTCTAAAATTGCCTACAAGCTCGCTGCACTTTGGACTTTTATTCTACTGCGGTTATTGTAAATTGTCACCCACAATGAATATTATAAGGAAATATCTAATAATATCACGACGCTTGGCTAATTAAACCATAAAATATTTACAAATTAAGGTTTTTATTTCGGTACATATTGTGTTATACAATTACTTCGGCAATTAATTAACCGCCTTAAATTAATAATAATAATAATATATTATGGGATGATTTATATCTTAAAATAACGATTACAAAATAGAGAAAACTCTTGATCCCTACGTAAAAAATCTCCTCCTTCCACCTTTTCCCACCCAATCGTTCTTCGCGATCACCAACATCGACAAAGGTACTGAGGATTCTTTTGAAGGTTGAAGAAGGAGAGAAAGAAAAAATCCCAAAATCTCGGTGTTGAAGCGATCAACTGAAAAATCTTAAATTGTAGCTTATGTTATCCTTTGCGAAACAAAGAAAATGTCTGCTGAAAAAAAATATGAATAACTGGCTGATGAATAACACTTTTAATTTTTGCTTAAATGGAATTTTGAAAATTGCTAATCCGATTTTTTTAATTTATGAATAATTGTTGAAAAAAAAAGAATCATGACAGCGAAATAATTCAGCTAGTGAAGATGATATTTTCTAACCACTAAGTTACTAAGCAACTCTAGTATGCAGAATTCCTTTTTGTTGACTTTCTTTTTCATTAGCACCATTAATTACTGCACCAGAAACATGGTATCATGGAAAATAACAGAAAATAACGATCAGCGCGATAGTGGTACGAGAACTTGGTAAAGTTTTTATTGAATCTTTTATTTTTGAATCGACTAAATTGACCGCAACTTCTGAATATTTGATAATTTCTTATCTTAACACTTAATTTTAGTAAGCATTTCAATAATTTCTTAAATTAGTTCTTTATACTAAAAAGAACCGACCGACATGGCGAAAAATGACTGCACCGATATTGATGCTAATACATAGGTAAGTTAGAATTCAATTGACTTAATATCAAATTTTGCAATGCAAACAGTGGAAACCGTGTCATTAATAAAAAAAAAAGAAATCGTTTCGAAAATTTTGCATATCAAGATCGCTGATCCACATTTTTATAGCCATGAATTTGACTAATTTCTCGTTCAATTGCCCAAGGATCGCTGGAAAATACTGGCCGGTAAAATGATTCAGTCTCAAAGCATATTTGTTTTTGAAATCGAGCCCCAGTGCATGCTACATGCTTCCGATCCATACACGAGCGAGATCTAAATCTTTCACCATTTTCACATTTAGTCCATGTACTCCACTGCTCCCAGTTGAAATACAACGAATCTGAAAGTGCAAAAAATGAAATTTTATAGTGAAATTCAAAAAATAATTTTTTATTGTTATTGCTTTTATTTTTTAAAAAATTGTTCTATTATTATAGTTAATAATTATTAATGTATATATAGAAATACCGAAGAACTAATATTATATTTTTTTGAAATACTTTTTCTCTGGGTTGCCTGATGCTATCAGATTTTCAAGACAAGGCACTTCTAAAGATTGATGTGAAAAGCATCTTCAATCTTTGTGACATGATTTCAATTCGTATGTTTCTAAATGGAAATGGAAAACTAGAGAAATGCACCTATTTTTGAAAGCCCAAAAAGCGAATAAAGTTAATAGCGTTAATATCGCGTTAATCTAATGTATTTTTCTATTTTTACAAAATAGAAAATAATCATGAAGAACTTTATATATAAAGAAAGCTAAGCAAATAAATTTAAAAGTATCAAAAGAGGCAAAATGAAAAAAACAGAAATCTCCGAGTTGGTTGACGGAACGAATATTATAAATAACAGACGTTGGAAGCTATGTTCATGGAAAATAAATAGTGATTGTCCTAAGAATGCGATTATGCGATTTACTTCATATTTATTTGTTTGTTCATTTATTTCACTAAGTTTTTCACATCATTTTCGAGTCACATGCAAATTCTTTTTCATTAAAACAAAAATTATTTCAAAAAATATTGTGAAAAATGTGCAGAATTGTTAAATGTAGTGTTGCTGTTTGAGCAAATCGACCTGATAAATTTAAATTAAAAGTTCTATATACAAGATTTTTTTATTGATTTAGTCCATTCATTAGATATGCATACATTTGAAATGTCTCTCGAAAATTTGCTGAGAAAAATTATATTCCAGAAGGCAGAAATTTGCCAATAATTTTCTGCTGCATTCACCTTGAATTGGTTGACCATTAAATTACGACAAATGTCAATCATTTCAGTCTAACTTCAGTACATTTGAACAATGTTTCAAAAAATCACAAATTTTGGCCATATATTGCATATATTTCTCAAAATGAAAAATATGAAATAAATAATACTGAATGCTAATATTTGCATTAATTCCTTATTAATACTTTAATCTGCAGATATGGCAAAAAAAGACAAAGATTTCAGAGTTTAGGTTAAAATACTAAATAATAATTGTCATTCAATTCAACAAATACAAACACAAAAATCGAACGTAAAGTATGAAAAAATTTTGATCTTCCCTAACGCTACCAGTTAAACAAGATCCGTGCACTTGGAAAATACGTTTTTCGAATAAAACTTAAGTTACAAGAATATGCTTAGGCTTCAATATTAATCGCTTTATTTACTTGTGATGCAACTTCCATGAAAAAAATTTCTTGGCCAGTTTTTTGAATTTCATATTGTTTGTTCAAAAAAGCGTTCAATAATCAAATATTCCTTTTTAAAAGTCAAGAATTAATGGTTGCTATAACAATTTTGTTCATCCACTAAACTATTTTCTTTTTTTCTTCACCAACGACCTTCCGAGTGCGCTAGCAATTTGTCACTACTCATTATCATTCACATTTTTTCTTTATTATTGCCACATTTTTTTTATTTATTTTATTTTATTTATTGAGTGGAATATTAGAACAATAGCTATTAATTGAATCCACCACTCCTTTATAATACATAACAATTTTAAATATCTTGGTTGTCTTGAATGGATATACTAAGATTGCACTACTTGGTCATCCAAGGAGAGTAATTATTACCTGTGAATTATTATCTTTTGAATTGGAAGACGTGGCTTAAATAATATCATTCACAAATTTTTTCGAGGAGCTGAATGCTTCATTAATGCAAATTTTTATTTGGCTTTTGTATCTTCCAGAATCAACCAGCTTGGTTCAACTCGATAAGATTTAGTGCTTCAATTAAGTTTATAACAGAATTTTCGAAAGGTATTTAAGTTAAAATAGAATGTGTGACGAACTTTTTTTGGATAAATTATTCTCCCTCATGAAATGCCCTTAAGTTTTCAACCACTGCTGTTGAGTTAATAGTTTCGGCTTATCACCAAATTAAAGTCAATCAAAATTAGAACACGACTAATCCTTTTAACAAAAGAACTATTAGCTTTGATTTACTATATTTTTTAAAATTATTGGGAAAATAAGGCTGAGAATCTTTCTCCTTTTAAGAAACATGCTAGCAATTATAAATAATCAAGTATCTCTGCAATATCAAATTGATGTTAACAATAAGACAAATTTGGAAAAAGCTAATTAGTCCAGAACGATAAAAATTAAATATGTGTACCATCTTATAATGAACTGATAAATTAATATTTAGAAAATTAAAAGACTCACAAAAGTTTCGAAGGAATAAAATACGTCGTTTGAAGCCCATTTTCATTTTTTATAAGATAATTTTATTTTTCTAAATTTCCAATTCACGCATATCGCTATCTATTTATTACTGCTATTAATCAACACCTACAACTATTCGGTCATTTCTAATCGAATATGACCGGATAACTTCGATAAAATGGTTTTTATGAAAGCCAAATTTTAATTTATATGAAATTTGAATTTCACTGGATAAAATTTCCTTTTGCTGGAGTAATCAAGACATATCGGTGATTAAATTATCTGCACTTTTCTCGTGTAATTTTTTAGAAATTTTAGAGTGTTATATTAATTAGTTTTTTTTAGAATATGTATAATCATTATAATATATTCATTTGCATAATTAATTCATAAGTTGAAAAATTCATTTCATACCACCTCACTTGCCTTTTTGATTTCTCATTTTTTTTTGCATCCCATACTTAGATGATCTATTCCACTAGGGGATAGAATGGCTTAGTGGGTTGTTGCTCAATTGGGAGTGAATGCTGAGGTTCGGTTCTCCGCAGAAGTAAGCCTGTACAAAAATCCGGGTGATGCTGACGATTCACTTGTATTTCTATCGCAATGGGACTCCCTGGCATATTACCAAGTGCGGCAAGCCAGTGGAGAGAGTTTAACCAGTAATGGTGAGGACTCATTAAAAAAATTCTATTCTAGTGAGATGAGATCTCTGGAGATCTTTTGTCATAAATGATGGGTTTTCACGCTCATAAAGATTTGCAATAACTTCCCAACGAATTTAGAAAATTTATTTCAAGATTCTTAATAAACTGAAATTTGAAATGCTGGACAAGCCGTTTTTTGTCAAACTACAAAAGAAGAGAATTGGCTACATAAATCCAATCCAAGCCACAAACTCACTTACTCATTTTATAACTGATAATTTACTTAATTATTTATGAAAACTAAGGAAAGTAAAATTTACTTTAATAAAACAAAACAAATAGAAAATATGTAAGGCAAGTGAGTTGGAAGAAATTTAAAAAAACCTAAAAGATGCCAGTCGAATCCGTGCGCTACTATCAGCGAATAATGATGTAACAACAGGAAGCCAAATAAAATTTGGAATAATATAATATCAGCTGTGATAAAGTATTGAAGATCTGGTTTAAAGTTGGTGTCATAAATAATATTGAATTTATTTTCAAAATAGAATACGGAGGAAGCAAAAACAAAGTCACTAGGAAATTTGTTGATATTCTAATGAAGAAACTGTGGAAAACTACATTCGTTTTGCAGATAGGTTTCCCGTAAGTTTAGTGCTAATGTCATATTAGAGACCACTTCCTCTAGTGTCATTAACATTAAGGCATAGAGCACAATAATCAGTTTAATGAATAAATAAAGCTAATAGAATCTTATAAGCGAAAAGTCTTGGTTAAATCTTCTGACGCGAAGTGAATTGAATTGAAAAAGTGTATAAACAATCTAGATTTATAATTTAAGTATGCGAATTTAGTATGCCTAGGAAGTACTTCTATAAAATCGCAATCGGCTTAATCGACATTTAGATAAGAAAAATTCGTGTTGTTTTATCATATTCTAAACGTAGACGAAATGTTTTTTATATGTTAATAATAAGGAAATCATCTGATTTGTTGTTGAAGATTCTGAAGATTCAGGTTTAAAATCCTGGTGGATTTTTTGACAGTACCTCTATAATTTATATCAAAGCTGGGATTTTCTTGAGTTATTAACCCGAGATCTGAGTAGCTACTTCTACTTATATGAAATAAAATGGAGCGGCCAAAATGTAATGATTATTAGAGGCATTAATATGAAGAAATTTGTATTTTTCAGCAGAAAATTTAATTTACCTTTCTTGAAGACAATTGACTACGTTCTCCCATCTATTATGTGAAAGCTAAATGAACATATAAATGATGATGGAGAGAAATTATTTTCCACTGCCATTCTATCAATTTTTACGAAACTAAAAACTTATCTCCGCCTGAAACAACTTTTTTTTGCAGTGTCACAATGTGGTGGTTTTGTCGAAAATTTTGCTGAAAAAATGTTCGACCATACTTTCTCAGTATCGGACTTATGAGTTAACTTATTTCTATTTCAATCATTTGAGTATTCTTCACACATTTACTAATATTTCGGCCTTGACGACTTATGTTCAATCGAATTAAAATACTCTTTCGTTTATTTCCGCTGATACTACATTTACTAAATTTTCGATCATTACGCAGTCATATTATAAATAAATTCTTGTTAATTATTATAATCAATACTATGAAAATGTTGTGAAGCTAAAAATAGTAAGAGTTTGAAACGTGATGCAAATGGCTTTTTAGAATTTCCTTCGTTAGCTTAAATATTGGTGAAAAAAGTTTATAATCAAATTTTCTGTTCTCCTCGAATTTATATGTATAAAACACATTATGACCATATTATATCACTTTTACTCCGAAAAAATATCGCCCTAATAAGTTTTTTCGCCATTTTAATGCTATAATATTTTAAAGAAAGTGGAGAATTGAGTAATTGGGGAATTCATTAATTCGGATGCATCATTCACGTTCCACTTATTAACCACCCACAATCAAAATTCTTCATTCGGGATGATTTTTACTACATCCATTGTTCATTTCATTCCATCCCTTATTGTTATTGCAATAATTAATTGATATCATTATCTCAAACATATATGTGACCTATTTGACGTATAATTTCAAAAATTTGCAGCGTACACAAATATTTCTGGTATTTCAAAATTTTTTCATTAACACATTTTTCATTTAAATAAATCACATACTTACTTTTTTTTAACTTAATTACAATAAGGAAAAGAACCCAAAGTAATAGTATTTTTTGATAAAGAACCCAAAGTAATTGTTAATCAGCTCATTCAGTAATGCAAGAAGAAAATTAGAGCATGAAAATCCAGGAGATAGTAGTGCTAGGCACAAGAGCAGAAAGTCTTTTTTTTG